ATGAGTGGAGTAAGGACAAACATGACACATCAGATAAAAAACAAATCTGAAGAAGCTGATAATTCAATAAAAAAATGACAGTAGCAGCATTACTGGCTGTTTACCAACATAAATTTCATGCAGGTAGGAATGGAAGGAATAGGCAGACATTTTATTTTTACTTAGCATTACCACTTCATTCAGAGAGACAGGTCATTTTCCCTAGGTCCAGTTATTAGTTTAGTTTTCATTTAGTTTTAGTTTTCATCCCCCACCCCCACATTTGAGGTAGGCTTTGAGAGAATCACCAGTGTCTTTCTTGGATTTACTGCTTCAGTCACACCAGCAGCTGTTCTCAATGGGCATTCTATGGGAGAATTAAGCTCTCGTTACCTAAGATGGAGGTTAATGAACTTTTCTATAAAGGACCAGGGAGTAAATATTTTTGGCCTTGAAGGCCATGTGGTATTTGGCATAACTACTCAAGTCTCCCATTGTAGCTCACAAGCAGTCATAGATGATACATAAATGAATAAGCATGGCTGTGTGCCAAACAAACTTCATTTACAAAAACAGGTGGGCAACTGGATTTTCCCCCTGTGGCTGTAGTTTGTCAGCATCTTCCCTAAGACATCAACTAATGTAATGAATGAGCTTCTCTTCCATGCAGTGAAATGGCTCTATCACCCTTGTGAGAAATCAGAAAACAGCCATGAAACTCATTTTCTGTATGGCTAATTCTTTTGCAAACCATAGATGTGAGAGTCTGTGGGATCTAGAAAACCATCTTGTAATTGATGTCAGCTGGTTCCTTTGAAACCTGAAAGCTGTGCCTTTGAAAATTGCAGGCAGTGGTCCATGAAGCTCTCTTTTTTCATCCCTATTTAGCATCTTTAGTCTGTGGCTCCTTTAATCCCACCTTGCCCCAGGTCCTGAAGACTGGTTGAAGGCACATGTTTCTGCCTCTTGTGTTCTCTTTCTAATTCCCTAGTTCACCCATGGTTTTATGTTCTCCTAACTTAATTGATGCCAACAGTATTTTAAATAAACATAGCCCCACTAGTAGTTTTTATAAGCTTTGTCCAGTGGGTGGAAAACTAAGGGATGGAGCACTGGAGATAGTTCTCTCTCTAGGGGAGGTGACATGTGATTTCTGGGAGAAAACCAGTGCCTGGAAGATTAATGACCCATACACAGGACAATGCATGTGGGGTCCAGTCTGAGCACATAGGTTGGGCACTGAAGAGTCACTTCTGAATTATGAAGGACAGGATTAGTCTATTCTGAGATTGGGAAAAAACACAGCTCACCTGTCTGTCTACATTTTCCTTACTATTTTTTATTTTCTGCAAGCCTTCTAGACTTTTCCTTGTACTTTTATATCTTTTTTCCAGAAGGATTTAGAATTGAAAGAGGAAAAAGTTAAAACTTAATCTAGTTGGTCTAGTTTCTGATTAGCTCTTCAAATAATAGATTAAGTTAGAGAAAAGCTGAAAACCATTGAATAAAGTTGGCTTTTGCATTATTTGTAAACTTTTGTTATTCTTTCTCTATTTCCAGGTAGTACACATAATGGATTGTTAATTTTCCTTCTAGAAAAATTTCCTCTGATTTCCAAGTGATTACACAATGATTATTTTATTTGGGTGGATAAATGCAGTGGTAACATTTTGAGCCCATCTGTGTATTTTATCACCGTCACGAGTGCTTACTATACAAAGGTTTTCTTAGGAATAGAGTGACTCAGATTTCCTGTCCTTGGCCTTTCTTCCCAAATCAGACCAAAGAGAAATAAAATACTTTAGTCTTTAATCAGTTAAAATACTGATAGTTGGGAAAATAACAAACAGTAGCTTGTTTTCCTGCCTATTGTAAAGCAAAATAACATGTTTACTTGTTGGAAACACTATATCTTCTTTGAGTCTCTCTCTCCCTCTTTCTCCTATCTTCTTTTTTCTTGGGGAATTTTTCTCTTATCGGGAGCAAACGTTTTTCTTTGGCTCTTATTCTCTGAGTGGACAGGAAAGCGACCCATTAACTCCAACATGGGTCTATTTTAAGAGTAGGAGTTTGAAATACATATAATTCTTATCCACCATATTTCTCCAATTCTTAGCTCTCCTTTACTTCCTTTTAAACACTTTGCAAAATGGAAAACCTGTTTGAATAAAAACAGCTAATTCTTTTAGAGATGCGCAAGGAAAAGCTATGACGGGAAGCAGGGTACCTTTCTTTAGTATGTGGCTGCTTCAAAGTTGCTGTTAGCAAGAGGACATTTTTGTCAAGTGTGATTAGAGTTTGAACAAAGCCTAACATTCTCATTAGGGAATAAAAATAAGGGGTCCAAATCTATATATTTATAGTAACTTTCAGGGGGCATGCATATATTTAAACTTTTGTTAATTGCACACATCAAAACAGGAGGTGTGTGTGATGGCTCTTTTTTTTTTTTTTTTTAAAGATTTTATTTATTTATTTGTCAGAGAGAGAAGAGAGTACAAGCAGGGAGAGTGGCAGGCAGAAGGAGAAGCAGGTTCCCGGCTGAGCAAGGAGCCCAATGTGGGGCTCAATCCCAGGACCCTTGGATCATGACCCGAGCCCAAGGCAGATGCTTAACTGATTGGGACACCCAGGTGTCCCTATCCAGGCTCTTTTATCAAGAATCCAGGATAGGAAGCTATGAGAACAGGATTTTTTGAGAGAATACCAATACCTTCCATTCTCTGGAAGATTCAGTTTTTCATTCAATTTACTGTTACTCTGGCTGTAAACCACAAATGCTAGAACATTTAGATAAATTAAACGATGGAAAGTTTGTTAAAATATTTTAAAAATTAATTTTGGGGCCCTGGCTGGCTCCGTTGGAAATTTGATCTTGGAGTTGTGAGCCCCATGTTGGGTGTAGATTACTTAAATAAACTTAAAAAAATAATTTTGTGCTTGATGGGGATAAAGTTTAAGAATACGTTATATATCTGAGACAGTTTATTTACAGCTTATATGCAATCATGAAATGGCGGCATTCCTATTTTCAGTGTCATGACTGTTAAACAATGACAGGAATGAATAGTACAGTTGCTTCAGAAGCAACTTGAATTGACAGATTTGATAGATTGGGTTATACTCCAGGCAACAAAATCATAACCGAGGGATTTGGCAATAATTCTGTTAAACATGTCAGGGAGATTTTGTATCATGTCTCTTCTTTACCATCAGAACTGAAATATTCTTTGTTTGTTTGTTTGATTTTATTTATTTATTTGAGAGAGAGTGAACGAGAGAAAGAGAACGTGAGCAGGGGTGCGGCAGAGGGAGAAGTTAACTCCCCACTGAGCAGGGAGCCCGATGCAGGGATCAATCCCAGGACCCTGGGATCATGACCTGAGCCGAAGGCAGCCGCTTAACCGACTGAGCCACCCAGGTGTCCCTGGACTGAAATATTCTTAATTAATTGCTAAATGCTTCTTACTCAGTGCAATATAGTGTTAAGATGAATTAAGGGATTCATTGGGCAGCATCCAAGTATTTTGAACCATGTTGTAGACTTTTCTGCTTTCCCAAAACACCACATCAAGTAAACCTGAAGGTCTAAAGGAGTATCAGTGCTTTCTAATAATAACAACTAGCTTTTCTGAGCAACTATCTTAGGCACTGTATTATACATTTTGTATACATTGTGTCTTATCCTTTCATCAATCCAGCAAAGAAGGTCTTTTTTATCTTCATTTTTACCCCAGAGAACATCAAGGATCAGAGAAATGAAGTAATTTGCCCAAGGACATAAAGAAAAATTGGAGTAGATTCAAACCCAGATCTATTTGTCCTTAAAGGGCATGCCCTGTCCCTTTCTAACTTAATGTGTCCGTTTGAATTTTTGGTATTTTGACCTATGACCTGGGTGACTGCACGGTTGACTTTGCTAAACAATATGCTGACAGTAATATGCATATCTACCTATGCCAGGGAACTGCTTTTACTAACTCTCGCTTGAAAGCCAAAGGTGAGGCCAGGGACAGGTATAGATGAATTGAGTCTTTTACATACTGGAATCAATAACCAGAAGCAGTATAGACCTAAGCTGTGATTCTTACTGAATGCGTGTCAGGTATCTTTGGCAGTATTGTGGATTCCTTTCTGTCATTGTAATGCTATCAGTATTGATTGTGATGATTTCATATCTATTTATAAGACAAATACAGGAAATCTCACTTTTAGGGAAAAAAATGGACACAGAGTGACACTTTTTCTTAGATGCTTATACCTTATGAATTCACATAGTGCAGTTTATAGACTCATGTCATTGTAAACAATACTGAGTTGCAGAACTTAAAAATTTATGTTCTATGACCCACTGAAACAATGATAGTATTTTCATTTAGTGTAAACAATTCAAAATTTCTACCTTAAGTCAGTGAAAATATGTAGTGTTCTTTCTATTTCGTGTTTATTTCAATTAAGAAGCAGTAACACAGTTAATTGTAGTTTGCACCATCATGTATTAGGACAATTAAGTCTCTTATACATTACCATATGAGTCTTAAGTTTAAACAAGTGATTAAAATGCACTTTTTTTTTTCTCTCAGAAAATTATAACACACCTAATTTGGGCTCTTCTTGCTCTTCCTACTATCTTATTATTGTTATCACTTTGGCCATATTCCTTTGTATAAACCGTTGTACCCAGCATGGCATATTGCTATTAATAGGCATAATGCATATTTTTAAATAAAGCTGAGTCACAAAAATGTTAGGAAGCCCTCTCCCCTGTATTTCCTTCATTAACGGTTGTTACCATCATGTCTGATCAGTAAATGCATATTTTAACTTTCTTGATCATCTCTTCCTCTTATTTCCTGTGGGTAGGTGGCTCCTGTGGCTCACTTCATCCATGTCCTTAGCGGGAAATATCTGTGGCTGTGACATCATAGGTGACCTCTCTGAACATAAACAGCTTCAGTTTTGTGCTCTTCCCCTTCCTTTGGGCAATTTTTCTTCTTTTTAGGCTCTTTTCTTTTCTTCTTCTCTTCCTTTATTTGGTGTTCTTCCTCTATGATAAAAAAGAATTTAGAAAAAAGGATTGAGAATCAACCATTTGGAAAAGTAGAAATTAGCTTTACTTATAAAAGGACTTGGGTACTCACTATTGGCGCTTTTCCTGTCGGCTAAGGAAAGGAAGTAGACCTTGGGAAAGAGAACAAAGCAAAGAGCAAGCAGAAATCTGACCACTGAGAAGAGACTGCTGAACATTCATTTCTTCCCAGGTAATGTTTTTGTTCAACACCACAAAGGCTAATAACCTCCTTTATAGGACATGAACTGCCTCTGCAGTATTTGAGCATTCAGATTGATGTTAAAGTTAACTGCATGTGAGAAACACGTCACCTATGAAGACAGAGGGGGCTGTAGAGGGCTGGGTGATAGATTCTGGGAGCCAGCTGTGCTCAGATCCTCAGGTCCTAGGGTCATTATTATGGGTCTGGTGGCTGATCTCAGTCTGTTACAGGGTCCTTGGACCTAGTGTAGGAGCTACCAAGATATCATTTCTTTAGGCACTAGTTTACATTTCTAGAGAGAAATAAGTCAATCACCACTCAGCCATATTTGTAACTGTCTTCCAGAGCCTCAAGCTAGGAAGCTTGGTTGAACCTAGGGGAAGGGCAAGAGAACCAGTAAAGACTGGGGAAAACCACTAAAACAAAAGATCCAGATTTTCTTTCCTTTGCCATGAACTAACAGTATGATCTTTGATAAATCTTTTTATTTCTCTGGTTCCATTTTCTAAATTTTTAAAAAAGATTTTATTTATTTATTTGACAAAGAGAGACACAGTGAGAGAGGGAACACAAGCAGGGGGAGTGGGAGAGGGAGAAGCAGGCTTCCCGCTGAGCAGGGAGCCCAATTCGAGGCTCCATCCCAGGACCCTGGGACCACGACGTGAGCTGAAGGCAGCCACTTAAAGACTGAGCCACCCAGGTGCCCCATTTTCTAAATTTTTTAGATGAGTTGCCTCAGGTGAGCTTTAAAGCACCTTATGGTTTTGGGATTCTACTTCTATCAACTGTGATCATTCGTACTGTCCATTTATGTTATTTAGTGCTGATGTCAATTATTATTACTAATCTTCACTTATTCATTCATTCGGCAATTACTACTGATCACCCACCATGCATCAGGCTCTGTGCTAAATGCTTGGAATACATCAGTGAGTAAAATTGAGAAAGATTCCTGTCTTTTTGTCCCCACATCTCCCAAGCCCACATTCTTGCAGACAGAAATAGGCAATAAACAAACCAAAAAATTAAGAAGAAAATGTATATTATAATAGTAAGTGCTATAATAAAAAAATAAAACATGACAAGGAGGATCAGGAGTACTGAGGTGAGGAGGGGACTGAAATTTAAATGAGGTAGTTAGGATAAACCTTACTGAGAAGAAGACATTGAGTAAAGACCTGGAGAAGGTGAAGAAGTGAGTTGTATGGATATGAGCTGTAGGAGTACCACAAGCAGAGAGAATGACCAGTGGGAAAGGCCCTAAGGCAGGAGCAAGTCTGAATGTTCCAGAAACAGCAAGGATGGCCGTGTGCACAGGAGGATCTGGGGGGGAGAGATAGAGAAGGATGTCAATAAGGCTAGGGGAAAGACATTTGGCTCTGTGGGCCAGGGTAGGGATTTGGGCTTTTACTCTCAATGAAACAGGAAACTGTGACAAGTTTTGAGCCAAGGGGTGATACAATCATTTATTGCAGCATTCCAGATGAGAAATGATGGCGGTGGACCATCGGTGCAAGTGGTGTCAGGGGTGGTGGTGGTGTCAGTGCAAGTTTAACAAGATGTGATCAAATTCTGGTTCTGTTTTGAAGCTAGAGCTAACAGGATGTACTAACAGTTTAGATATGGGATATGAGAGAAAGAGAGATTTGTCTTGAGCTACTGGAAAGATCAAGCTGTCGGCGACTCTGGAGGGAAGATGACCGGTGGAAGAGATTTGGGGAGGGATATCAGGAATTAGGTTTGGGTATTTGAGTTTGAAGTAGAGATGCTGAGCAGAAATGAGATCTGGCTGGGGATATATACCTGTGAGTCATCCATTGACAGTTGATGTTTAAAGCCAAAAGACTGGATGAAAGAGATCACCAAGGGAGTGTATGCAGACAGAGAAGAGAAGAGGTCCAAGAATAGGGTCCTGGTCCCTCCAACGTGAGGATGAAACTCCAAAGGAGATGAAGAATGACAGAGGAGGTAAGGGGAAACCAAATAAATTCATATTTATATATTTCTTGTTCTTGAAGGAATTCATATTTATAATCAAATTTACTACAGTGAAACTTTTGGCAGCTGAGAATGAATTAGAAATTTCACAGATTGGGGGGCCTGGCTGGCTCAGTCAGTGGAGTATCCAACTCTTGGTTTCAGCTCAGGTCATGATCTCAGGGTCGTGGGATTGAGCCCCCAGTGGGGTTCTCTGAGAGCACTCAGCAGGGAATCTGCTTGGGATTCTCTCCCTCTCCCTCTGCCATTCCCCTTGCTTGCTCTCTCTTTCTCTCTCTCTAAAATAAAATAAATAAAATCTTAATAAAAAGAAATTGCACAAATCGAAGAAAAAGAAAAGAATGAAAAGTGATGTTACAGGATTTAATTTTCACATGGTGCATTGACGATAACAGTAACAACGGAAATATACATTTACTGTTGAATTTTTCCAGGTTTACTCAGAGGGAATGATTCAAATTCATTTATATTTTGGGTAGGCCAGTTCAGGTATTGTAGCAGTTCTTTTTTTTTTTTTAAGATTTATTTATTTGAGAGAGAGTGAGAGCAAGAGAGCGCATGAGTTGGGGGAGAGGTAGAGGGAGAAGCGGACACAGGGCGGCTGGATCCCAGGATGCCAAGATCAGGGCCTCAGCCAAAGTCAGACGACTGAGCCCCCCAGGTGCCCCAGCAGTTAGTTCTAAACGTACTGAGTAGGAGCCTACAAGCTGGGCATTTCTACAAATTTAGGAGAATATTGCCACCCCCTCAGAACGCATTGAGTGTGTCACTGATCCACAAGGAGTTCAGGTGGGGATTTCTCTGTAGCATGTCTGAGGGAGGGTGATCAGAAGCTAAATGAAGAAAACTGAGATGTTACACATCACTAGATTGTACTTCTATGAGTGCAGAGACTGTTTTTGTCACCTTTACATCACACAACCCTAGCATGTTGCAATCAATCAGTACATAGTTATTACATGCATTATTAACTTCTTATAATTAATAATAATTATTGATTGCTTATGACATGTCAGGGCATGGGAACATAAAGGTGATTACAATACAATCTTAATTTATTTATTAATCATTTGCTCTTCTCAACAATCCTATGAGATAGATATTATTAAACACCCTCTTTTTTTTTTTTTAAGATTTTATTTTTAAGTGATCTCTATACCCAATGTGGGGCTCGAACTCACAACCCCAAGATCAAGAGTTACATGCTGTACCAACTGAGCCACCCAGGTGTCCCTAAACCCTTTTTATAGATTAAAAAAAAAAGTGAAACTTAGTGATATTAAGCATTTTATCCAAAGAGTCAGAAAGCAAATTTCTAGATCTTTCTGATTCATTTGGTTCCTTCCTTCTTTCCGTGTTCCCTCCCTCCCTCCCTGCTCTCTCTCTCTCTTTCTCTGTCTCTGTTTCTCTCTTCCTTTTGTTCTCCAATGTCGATTAAATATGTTCCTTCTGGTGGAAGTGGAGTAAGCCTTTGCAGTAGGCTACCTGAAGATTTGGAAAAGTGGTATTCTAACCTCTGCTACTGATTGAAGTGACTTGGAGTATATAAATTTTCCTTCCTTCACTCTTCCACCTTTAAGCACTTTTTACTTTTTTCATTATGTAGATGTATGGGATGAGTTATGTAGAAGTGCTTCATAATTGTTGGAGGATTTTTTAAAATTGTGATTAAAAAACATACAAAAAAATGTACCACCTTAACCATTCTGAAGTGTGCCATTCAGTAGTATTAAGTGTATTCATATTGTTGTCAAATAGATCTCTGGAGTTTTTCTTTCTTACTTTTTTTTTTTTAAAGATTTTATTTATTTATTTGACAGAGAGAGAGAGACAGCAAGAGAGGGAACACAAGCAGGGGGAGTGGGAGAGGGAGAAGCAGGCTGAAGCAAGCTTCCTGCAGAGCAGGGAGCGCAATGCGGGGCTCGATCCAGAGCCCCGGGATCATGACCCGAGCTGAAGGCAGACGACTGAGCCACCCAGGCATCCCTGGAGTTTTTTCATCTTGCAACTTTGAAACACTGTCTCCATTAGAAAACAACTCCCCTTTTCTCTGTCATCCCAGTCCCTGGTAACCAGCACTCTACTTTCTGTTTCTGTGAATTTGACGCTTAAATATTTCACATGAGCATAATCATAACAGCATTTGTCTTTTTGTGACTGGCTTATGTTACTTAGCATAATGTCCTTAAGGTTCATCTTTATTGTAACATGTGACGGGATTTCCTTCCTTTTTACTTTTTTTTTTTTTTAAGTAATCCCTACACCCAACTTGCGGCTCAAATTTACAGCCCCAAGATCAAGAATCACAGGTTCTACCAACTGAGCCAGCCAGCCAGGTGCCCCACTTTTTTTTTTTTATTCTAAGAGTAATTGACACAGATATTATTTTAGTTTCAGGTGTACCAAATAGTGATCCAATATTTATATACATTATGAAATGGTCACCACAATAATTCTAGTTACCATCTGTCACCATACAAAGTTATTACAATATTATTGACTATATTCCTTATGCTATGCACTGCATCCCTGTGTCTTAATTATTTTATAACTGAAAATTTGCACCTTTTAACCTCCTTTACCCATTTCATCTACCTCCCCTTCACACAACCATCAGTTTGTTCTCTATATATATATGAGTCTTTTTCCATTTTGTTTTGGTTTGTTTGTTTGTTTTGTTTCTTAGGTTTCACATATAAGTGAAATCATACAATATTTACCTTTCTTTGACTGATTTATTTCACTAGTGTAATACCCTCTAGGCCCATCCAGTTTG